TAACTTTTCATGCCTTTGAGCATAAACATGGGCAGCAGCGCCCTCTGCAGTTTGTGTGTGGAAGTGCAAAAGCTTACAGCACCTGGTATTCCCAGGCGGTCTCCCATCCAAGTACTGACCAGGCCCGACCCTGCTTAGCTTCCGAGATCAGACGAGATCGGGCGTGTTCAGGGTGGTATGGCCGTAAACGAGGGAAGGCCGCTAGAAAAAACCCTTTTATACTTGGCAAATGTCACACAGTTTGATATATATTATTGTGCTAAATTCCATATGTTACAGCGAAAGCATGCAGCTATTCGTTGTTAACTGCAGCTTCAACACTGAGCTGCAAAAATGCTTTTCCCACAGTAACATCTCCATAATAACATTTGTTAGATTATTATAGAACCGTGTGTTTTGTAATTCAAACGTTTTTGTCGTTTGGAGACTTTAACTTCTATATAGAAGAGAAAACGTGTGCATTTGTCGCTACAGCATGTATAAAAATGCTGTTTGTGAGCTCTGCTTTCGCTTACGGCCATACCACCCTGAACACGCCCGATCTCGTCTGATCTCGGAAGCTAAGCAGGGTCGGGCCTGGTCAGTACTTGGATGGGAGACCGCCTGGGAATACCAGGTGCTGTAAGCTTTTGCACTTCCACACACAAACTGCAGAGGGCGCAAAAACTTTCACTACTCCTTCCTGTATTCTCTAGTCTCCTCCTGCTTTCCTTGAAGCACAAAAGCGCCTCGCTGATCATTTCCTAGATGCTAATCAAGGAATATTTAAGGAATATTTCCTTTTGACAGTAACTACTATAAAACCTAAAGCAGCACCTCACTGTCAATAACAGATTAAATGAACAAATCACATTAATATTGCAGAGTATAACATGGAGACATGAAGTTAGAGAAAAAATAACAAGATGTGACATGTTGAATTTAATATAATTATAAAAAACAGAAACAGTTTTGGTTTATAGTTTACAGAGAATTTTACAGGAAAAGATAAAACACTGTGTCATATTCATATAAATGCACCGATCTGACAGACTTGCACAGGGTACAAAGCAAAGGAAGTGTTGAGTTCATCTGCATGGAGCCTGAATGACCGTCTCAGCAGATCACGTATGTGGCATACAGCCAACACTGGACCAGTGAGCAAGCTTTACCTCATCCCTGTCCTCTCATCTTAGTATTCATACTGAAGTTTGCATGTTATGGAGGTTTTTTTTGTTGTTGTTTTTGGCTGTCATATTTTCCTTTTTAAAAAAACGGCACCTTGAAATATAAAAATGTGCTCGACAGTCCTGCTACTTTAACCACAAATCATTTCCTGAAACGCCTCACAAGAGTCTAATCACATCAGTGCAACCAGTGGTTACTTGTATTAGTTTATTAATTAGAGATGAACCGATCTGATATTACGTATCGGTCCGATACTGACGTAAATTACTGGATCGGATATCAGAGAGAAATATAAAAAATGTAATCCGATCCATTAAATATCACGAAAGTATCTCACAAAACTTGTGACACGGCGTAACTCAGCTCATAACCGTAGCACGTTGGAGCAGTATGCGTCACGTGATAGAGTGGCTGTGGCGTGCGAGACCTGTCGACGGTCTGGTTGAGCAGTTGGAGCCTCGCTACCAAACCGGCATTTCATCTCCGAGAAAGTTATCCCAGAGAGAAGTAAAGCAAGTGTGTAAGTTCATCTCTGAATATTTGTAAAGCATTCCCACGTTAATCTTAACAACCGATATATGGAACGACTGCCTCTTCTCTCTCTCTCCCTCTCCTGTTGCTACTTCAATCATGAAACTGATCAATGATCAGCTGATTGGCTTTTCTGTCGCGAGTCCGTCTCTCTTGTTTGTTTTTGGCCCACTTTGCACTAGAAAAAGGAAACCAGCGGCTAAACAACAGTAGCACATTAAAGCTCTTTAAAATACCAGAATAGGAAGGATGGTGTAGGTTCAGGTTTATTAGATTAAAACTTGAGTATGAACAAAATGCAGCAAGATTTTAAAAAACATTTTTATTTATTTAAAAAAAATACACTATATCGGATTCCTATCAGTATCGGCAAATATCCAAATTTATGATATCGGTATCAGGCATAAAAAAGTGGTATCGTACCATCTCTAATAACAATACTACACTATGTGCTGTCTCCATATATAACTAATAATAAACCAAACTGCAAATAAAAGAAAGACATTTAGAACAACCAGTGGTGCCGTCATGCGTTGTTTGTTGCTTATCATGTAATTACCATCTCTTCCCCGTGTACAGCAGGTTCTGCTCCTCTCCCTCCACTCGTCAGTCTTCCTTCAGGTTGTCGATGAGCTCCTGCGTCTGCTGGGCCAGCCTCCTCTTCTCAGCCTGCTGCTTCTTCAGGACCGCCTCTGCTTTCTTACTCTGGTAGATCTTCACCCCAGCAAACCCCAGACACAGCAGCAGCGTCTTCAGGGCTAAGATGTAGAAAAGCAAGGGGACGTTGTCCAAAGCCTGAGCATAGATAAGGGTACATATTTAACATAAATATGTATATAAATATATATGCAGAAATACTGTTTGTTAGAGAGTTTCTTTATACTATTTCTGTTTTTTCTGCTAGATTTAAGAAGTTTGCTGCAAAAGAAATGTCTGGAACAGTCTGGGACCCCAGAGGAGATTTTCCTCCTCCTCTCTTCTACCTCAGCTGCTTATGCGGGAGGTGGCAGTTATAAAAAGGACAAACAGCTGCACACCATGTGCTTTATGAGCTTGTAGCTGCACCGGGTCACACACACTTGTCATTACCGAAACCGCATTCAAAATCTTTGCATTTTAAAAATGTTCTTTACATAATAATTTAAATTAAGCATCCTATAAGAAAATTTCTAATTCCCACAAATCACTCTTGAATTCGGCATAGATATTATCTAACAAGTGACCGCGGTTTTAATAATGTAAATACTAGTCACCTCCTTTAAAGCTATTATCAGCTTATTTCTGTGGTTAAAAATAACAACACGTTTAAAAACTGGAGATGCCACTTGCGGTTTAAAATATATAGAAATATACACGCAGAGAGAGATATGTATATGCTATTTGATATATGACGATAGTAAAAGTTTTGGACGCGGTTGTAACAAATAACGCGAGAGTCTATGGTAACGTTAGCTTTAAGCTAGTGACAGCTGCGGCAAAAAAGGAGCAAAAGAAAACCTAAACGAGCACAAGAGTTATACAATTATAGACAAGCGTGCAATTGGTCCATTTAAAATGATATATCTACTGATGGTTACCTTCCAGTTAATCATTTTTCTCTCCTGTGACGGTGCAGTCGTTCTCAGTCAGCAGCCAGAGACCTATTAATGGTCGCGAGAAGAAGGCGGAGCTTACAGTAACTGGCCAATAGAAATGCAATATCTGCTAGCTGGCACTTATGCTACATTCAAAGTTCATGGAGTAAATCAAATCGAACCAACTCGTAGGACGAGTTGGAATAGATCAAATAATGTGGAAACATTAATTTACATCAATCTAATGGTAACAAACGACCTTAAACATTAAAGGGATTAAATTATTAAATTTATTTTTTTAAATCTCGGTTTTTCCTCATTTCCCACTGAAGTTGAATGCATCATTACTAATGGCAGTGCCGACGTACGGGGAGTGTGACTGACTCGTACCTGCTTGAAGGTTCTAGTAGTCAAGTAAACTAGATATACATTACATCTTCCATTTCTGTGTGCTCACAGAAGAGAAGTCGGTAACATTTGCTCAAAAACAATGTAAAATATGTAATATATCCGGTCTATTAGGTCAATAAGGAAACGCAAAGGCTTTTGATAACTGCCGCTTGCTAATGGATAATTTTGCCAGTTAAGAAACTGGGCCATTCATAGTCTTTGTTGCTGTGTTCTATAGGACGAATTCTTCATAATGTTATAATGACGTTTTGATAAAGAGTGCGTATCCGACAATACATAAACTGTAAGTTTGTCATACGTCGGCTTCGTGTCTTGGGTTGTATACCAGTATGCCGGCGTTTTTGGGCATGCGTAGTCACGGTGGCCGAGAGGTTAAGGCGTTGGACTCGAAATCCAATGGGGTTTCCCCGCACAGGTTCGAATCCTGTTCGTGACGAAATTTAATTTATGTTATCCATCAAAGTGCACGCTGAAGCTGAGGTGCTAGCTAGCTGAAGTGTTCTTCCCTTACAAATATACAGTGTACGAGCATAATTTCAATATATATTAATAACTGAGTTTTGTTAATTTCATATTCAGTTACACATTACAAATGTAACAGGTAATTCCTTTTAGTTTTAAATTGTTTGCTTTGATAACTCATTAGTTTGAGCAAAATTTATTGTTCATATGCAAATTAGTTATATTTCTGCTACATAAATGGGTGATAATTATTTAGTATAATTCTTTTTTTTAATCTGTCTTTTTCCCCCTTTCTCACTAAGGTTGAATGCAACATTACTAATGTATTTGTAAGGTAATTGTTTTTTTCTTTTTTCATATTATGTGTGTTTATTGTGGGGTGGCACTTCTTCTAATAGGCCTGCAAGCCAATATTTAGTATGATCACCTTAATTCTTCACCGCAGTCTGAACTTCCTTGTCATTTGTTTAAGAATTCTTCAGGACTAGTTCTCCAGGATTCTTGAAGGACATTCAAAGCTCTTCCTTGGATGTTGGCTGCCTTTTGTTCTGTTCTCTGACAACATGATCCTTCACTGCTTCTCTGGGGAGGCCAATCCTCTGTGACTTCATTTTCATGCTGAATAATGAAGCTGTTGCTAAACAAATGATTTCCAGTGCTTAAAGATACAATTTAATTAGACACTACACTGGTTCATCCCTTAAAGAAGAAGAAATATTCCTGTGAAAATAGTCAGAAAACTAGTGCCAGCAGAACTAGTGCTAAAGACTACTTTAAAAATGATAAGTCTGTCTGCTTGGAAACAAAATATAAAGAAATAAGGGCTGGCTGCAGCTTTAGCTCATTGCTTGATTGATTTAAGATGTTTTTTGTTTTTTTTTACAAAATATGCAACACGTGAAGATTTTAGCAGTGTGACAGATACACGTATGTCAATGACCAAGCATAGGAAGAAAGGTGGCAACTAGGCTATGGCTTAATGAATAGCAACAGTCTTTTTTGGTAGACAGATTTTCTATTAACAAGCAGATGCGTGCCTGCTGTGAAAAAAGCTAGAACTGGGTTACTTAGATTAACCAGTGTAAATATAGGACAAGGTTACAGTGTACCTTATGATTCAAACCTCAAGCACAGTCAGAGGCTGCTGTGCTTATGTAACTGTCACGTTTCTTGAAGCTGCAGCATGAAGGACAACATTAAGCACTTATTAGTTTCAGATCTATTTTATTACCGTTGTCATGATCACAGGTGTAATAGTTACACAGGTTGTAAAAAATTAATATATGACAACTGAAGTGTGAAATGTAAACACTACAAAACAAAATGCACTTTGCCTCTAACTGAAGGATGAGCATTTAAAGTATACAGTATAACTGGTGGCCTCATAAATAAGATTGTCATTGAAGGACAATATGATGCATACAGGATGCACTGGCTCACATCCTGTGTGCAGACAGTAAATTGTGCATGGATATAAGAAGAACGTGCACTTTTTCAGGAGAAACCAATCTGTATGCTGATTTAAACAAGGTTGCACATTTTGGGATTAACAAATAACCCACGCAGGCTCATAGTCAAGTACAACTTCATAAATAAGGAGGAGTATATACTGGTTTTCAATAAGGATTATAGCACATATTTAAAATTATAATGGGAGGTCTGTCTGTGTTTGTTTTAGATGGAGTTGGCTCAACTGTGCTACTTAAAAAGCTGCCAATTATATTTTCACTCTCTTAAAAGAAGGACCTGGATTGACTGTATCCAGGTAAACGTACTGCACCTTCATGCTACACTATAAACTATTTGTTCTTAATGAATTAAAAACAATCGATTTATGATTTAGGAGACAAAAAAAGAATCAGCAAAAACATACCAAACATGACGCTCCAACCAAAGCTTCTTTATAACGTGCTGATCTTGAAATAAATAGCTGATTAATAAATATATTAGCAGTCAGTTTGCTACGTGGGACTTGTCCTACATGACAGTGCAGCTCAGTTCTGCCTGGCTCTTATATAACACTAATATCTCATTTAATGAGCCTCATGTACAGTAATAACTCGATGACACAGGAATGGACGTGTGGGGTTGGAATGTATTTACACAGTGAAATTCATTTGAAGCCACCAAGTAGACTTAAGTTCCTCCTGATCTTTTTTATACTGAAGATTTTTTAATGATGGGTTAGCCATGCAACGCATCTTAAGCTACGCGATTTAGAGTCTCACATGCTCTCAGCTCATAAAGTCATCAGCACCCAAGTTAAGGTGCAGCTGTATGTTTGTGTGTAAATGCTGATGTTTTGGCTCGTCGTCTTCACTTTGGCTTTGCACAATCAAACTCACGCATCCTTCTCAGTTAACAGCGTCCATTGCTTTACAGAACACATGTTGCATCCATTTGTTCAAACTTCCACTGGTCCATCCGTCTGTCTGCCCATCTCGATCGATCCTAACACATGTAACGGCTGCTGTGAGAAAACCAAAACCAACAGTGGCTCGAAATACCTCCGTGCCACAGAGCTGCACCAGAAACAAACCAATGAGCCTTCGTGGCCGCTCAGCCAACCAGGCCTTAGTTTCTAAGCAGAAACTAGAGATCGTAGGTCAATCAGAGAGTAGCACGTCCTCGCTTTTGCTTTGTTCACGGGGTTAATTAATCTGATATAAAGCGCCAGCCTCAGACACAAACTGAGACTTTTCCATCCTTCGTGGCTTTGATCCAAGTCGTTGCAGCTTTAATGAGCAGGGAAAGCTCAATGAGACGAAGGCTTCTTCAATCCAGACCTAAATAGTAGTGTCTTTGTTTTTTCCTTGATAGTAAATCGATGATGCTTCTGTTTGTCTTATAATCAAATCCAAGAACAGAAATAAAACGCTCTCGAGTATTTTAATCTTGGCCCGCGTCCGTGAGGCCCGGGCAGCCATCCCCACATTCGGCCTTGTGAGGAGTAAATCTTCGCTTCCTTTTTCTTTCCTCACATCTGCGTCTCTAGGTGATGCATCCTTAATCTCAATCCTGGCCGGCTGTCTTCATCCGTCCTCGTTTTTTCTTTTGTTTCAGTGGTATTTTGGCTGGCGTCATGGAGAACCAAAGAATCGGCCTGACAGCCGGTTCTCTCCTCCTCTTGTTCAGCAGTGCTCATGCTGGCTCCAGTCAAAAATCACTTAAAACTAGAGGTAGGCTGTTGTTGTACATATATCATCCTCCGTTCACCCTCTTTCAATGATTTCTTGGTAACTTGCTTCCTAGTAACTACAGAAGTTCTCCCAGGAAACAGTTAACTGCAAAGAAAATCAGTCCCTGCAGCGTCTGAGCACATCTTTTTTGAGGAGAAGCGTCACAGCATCATGGCACATCCACCCTTAGCTCGTGATAATCATTATTAGGACAATTGTGATGGTGTACATGCTCAGTAGCGCGCCCTGTGGTTCGTTCTGGACATGGTGAGGGGCAGGGAGACTGAGGAAAGAGAGGACACCTCCCAGTAAAGAGAGCGAGACAGGAAGAGCTGGTAGAGGATGACCATGGAGATGGACTGGCAGAGGATCACCCCCATGGTCACCACCTGCAGAGGAGGAAGACAGGTGGGAGGCAGCGTGTAAACTTGGTGGCCAATGGAGGACAAAAGGTGAGAACTGAACATTTAAACTCAGTGAACATGAAAGAATTATCCTCAACAGCAAAAACTGTTGTTGTCTTTGTGGGAAATCAAACCTTTTCCTTCTGATGCTCGTTGAAGATCACAGACATGAGGACGAGGATGGGATGACAGAGGAACCACAGGAAGCATCCCTGCACAGAACAAGACCACATGACCGCCCGAGAACCTGCAGGCGTCTGTTATGTCAGTTTTAGTGTGAAATCTCTTTTACCTTGGCGAAGCTGAGGTAGAAGTCTCTCTTTAGGGTGCTCCTCTCAGTGGAGATGATCTGGTAGAGGATGGAGGCCAGCAGGAGGGCCAGGCCCACTCTCAGAGCCATGAGGAGGAGACCGGCCACACTCTGCTGGGCGTGATAGCTGTGGTGTTCACTCTCCGACTCTGAATACTGCTCCCACAGCAGCAGCACCGCCTGAAAATACAGTCTGGTTCTTAACAGTCGTCTTATGGCAAATACCCCAAATGAACCCCCACCTCATTCTGAAAACATCACGTTTACCTGATCGGGATTCTATGTGCTGGATCACATTTTCCTTAAAAATGAAACACTTGAAGTCATCTCAAGTTCTGCATACCTGTGTAATAACTCCACCAACAGCTACAGCCGTGGAGGCCGGAGACTGTTCCCACTGCAGAGGTCTGGACTGAGGCTTCCTGCCTCGGCTCAGAGTCCAGCCCATACACAGACTCAATAACATGTACAGCATGGACACCTGGGACACCATATCCCAGACTGCATTGGAGCCAAAAGAGAGGTTAACATGATCAGAGAGGTTCATTTTTTCTCTTATTGACTCTTTATAATGTTGCAGTATAAATGTAATGACATATTGTTGGCTCCATGATGTGGTAACATACACTCAGCCAGGCTGCCCATCAGTGGAAGACCGATTCCATCTCTGGAATACCTGCAAACAACAGGAGGCACAAACAGAAACACTGTTGTCTTAATTCACATAGTTTTTTATTAACAACTCTGTACTAAATAAATACAAATATCCCTTAAAATACATTTTAAGTCATAAAATATTACTGATATGTAACAGTGGGCCATCAAGAGTAGCATGAGCTTTAGAAACATTATAAATATTGCTCTGCCTTTCTCTGGCTCTGCTGAATCTACCTGGCCAGGTGGATGTAGTTGCAGAGCGCAGAGCAGCCCTGTAAAGCCAGCGCTGTAGTCAATACTTTGAGGACAGTGTGCATGGGTCCTCCTTTCCTCAGAGCCTGGTACAGAGGCTGGATGTAGATGCAGCAGGCGATGAAGTAGGCCAGCAGCAGGAGGAAGTAAAAACTGTGGAGGCCTAAGAGAGCGAGAGGGGAAAAATCATCAGCAATCCATCAGGATCAAACATAAAGTCCTGTCCTAATGCATTAATCATGTATTTAGTGTAAAGGTCTGACAGCACCTGAAGAGCCCTTACAACTTTTTATTAGTTTTACTAGATTTGGGATTCGGGACTTTATGCCAACAGTCATACTCTCACTGCAGAGGAAGCTAACAAGCATGAAATGCATCACCAGCTTGAGCTTAGTGATGCACTGACATTATCTGCTGTAGTCTGACAGCGGAGGGCGTATTCGGGGTGTCTGACCTGCCTCCTCTGCACTGAAATGCTCCAGAGGGTTTCCAGCCGAGTCGGCATTAAACAGCAGGACAGTGAAATCAAGATCAGCGTGGCCGGCAATCAATACGTTTTCCTAAGGAGAGAACGGAAATCTTAGTGATGAGCAGAATCCATATAGTTATGACTATCATTATTACTCGATCATGCAGTACTGTTGAAGGCATTACTATCTAGTATAACAGCATTACTACCAATACTTCAACCTACTTTTCCAGAACCAGTTTTAAATATTGTATTTAACTATGCATTCACACTGTCAGTGTTGTGTTTTGTGTTAGAACGAGCTCGCTGACAATAAATGTTTATTGTGACAGATTTATGACTGTGTGTGTATTTGACTGTATATATGCGTACATCACTGTGCATGCACTGACCTGTAGGTGTGATGCAAACCAAAACATTTGCGACCCTACATCAGTTTCTGCAGGAGTAGGACTGTATTTCACTGTATACTGCAATATAGAGTGCATGTGTCTTTGCACAGAGTCTCCTTTAGAGGTGTCCTCTTATTTGTTCATATTTGTGACAACAGCATCGCTGCTGGAGGTTTGCCTGACTAAAGCCCTAGTTGCATTATTACATTAATATTATATATAATTATGTTACCTGACATGTGAATCTGTCAGCATACAGGATCTGCCAGGCTGTGGGCAAAGACTGCCGAGGGATCGTCTGGTTGTGCTCTTCTTGACTGAGTGTAACTGTGGGTGGGTAGGGGTGGGGGAAGAGAGATGAGGTGACAGTGTGGAGGAAGGAAAGTGGAGACATAAATCAATATGGTGGGATGGCAGGAGAATCCAGAATTGTATCAGCGATTGCTGGTTTCTTACTGGTCACGTCGGCTTTGGCGAGCCTCTCGGAGCAGCTGAGGTTGTCCAGCTCCGAGTCCATATCCTGATACAGCAGCAGTCTGGACTCTCTCTCTTTAGCCAGCGTTGAGCTGTCCACCCGGCACACCAGCAGACCGTTGCCAGCTAAACGAAGACAAGGCACCATGGTTGCAGCAGCTTCTCAGATGTAACATTTAACACTCACATAGCATATTCGTGAAATTTTACAGACCAAGCGGCTAACTAGCAATTCAATAATGTACTCAACTGATTAGACTTTAATATATAAAACATTCATTTTCAAATATATAAGCTGGAGAACAAAGAGATTGTAGCTTTCAGTGGCCTTTGGATCTCTGAGGCCGAATGATGGGCCCCTAGTTTGCCAGCATGGTTTCTACCCATAGGCCCTTGTGCTTCACACAGGGTTAATCTCCTGAAACAAGTGAGATTAGCTGACATCTGGTAGCTTCAGACCTTTTTAAAGCAAAAAGTCTTGCAGAAAATACCCCCCACTATGCCATGTGACATGTGTAGCCAGCCTCTGTCCACACTCAGGGTGCAATCATGTCATTTATGGGTCGGAAAGAAGTTGGATTCCTTTAAGACCTGTAAAAATACCTAAAAGTGTCCGGAAGCAAGTTTCCGGAATACTTGTTAGAGGTCAGCCCGAATAAAAATGCTATAAAATAAAATACAGAGGCTTAAGACAAACAGTAATTTGACATTAAGCAGCAAAGGTAAAGGTAAAGCGCCGGCTGAATGCTGCCAGAACTGCTAATAATCAGTGCACACGTTATCAGATACTCGCATGACACGTTAGTTACACCCATTTTTGAGCGGCTCAGTGAGAGCCGTTAGCAAATAAAAAAAAGGAAAGCAAACACGGGCAATAAACTGAGCCGTCAGCTCGTTATTACCCCACGTTAATCATTAAGGTGGCGTGAAAAGAAGCTAAGCCCGCTGTCAGAGCTGGAATGACACGCCAGCAGCAAGCACATCACCACCGTCAACGTTACCTTGGTACATGAATTTAGTGATGAACTGGCCCTTCTGCTGTCTCGCCGCTTCGCTCTTAAAAAGTCCCGTAACAGTTTTCCCGGAAGCCTCCGAAGTGAGCAGCAAAACAGCCGCAAGTGTGGCTAATAAGTACGACATTTTCCCGCTTGTGCAGTTTAGCGTTAACGACAAATATAGGATGCCTCATCGATTCAATGAGCCACGAAGCCAGAAGTGAACCAGCTGCGTCAAGACCCCCAAATGTTCGCCAAGCTGTGACCGGAAGTTGGATGTTCTTGCCCTCAAATAAAAGATAAGCTTGGAAATAATGGATAATAAACGCGCGCGGAATGACACAAAACACATTCACATGAAGACACATCTGAAATAATATTATATTTAAGTTTGGTACATAACTAAACGCAACACACACAAGTGTTATAGGTTAAAATACTCGATATGACCTTTATTTTGAAAAGCAACACCGGATGATATGTGTTTATTTAAGAGGACTTGACTGGTTTTCGCTTGCCGACAGGTCTACATTGACAGTTTGATTGATTCAGGATTCACGCAATCACATCGCGCTAACTTCACTGCATCATATAGGACAACCAATCAGAGAGTAGAAACTAGTACACACACACACACACACTCTTAATGACCCGCCCACTTTCAACGTGTCAACACTGCCGTGAAGCAGCCGGTGACTGTCGCACAATCCGGCTACTGTTATGGAAGGTAATAAAGCTCTGCTGTTTCCGTTAGGATAGCTTGCTAGCTTGATGTCGGAAAATATGTTTTTATTATACTTGTAGGAGTACATGTTGTGAGGTAACAGCTGCTGGAAGACCGGGAAATGGACTTCAACAGGACTGTTCTGGTGACTGGAGGCTCTGGATTCATGTGCGTTCGTATTTCATATCAGTGTACACTTAAGCTGAAATAACATTACGAACTTAGCATTTAGCTTGATAAACAGACCTGACCGTGGTTCCTCTTTTAGTTATCAAGACTAGGACCTGTAAGGAAAACCTCTGCACAGGTGAAACAGAGGTAAACAATAAAGGAACATCTGTTAGCAATAGCAGTTATTTACTAAGAAATAAGCACAATCTTATTAGTGAAAAAGTATTTATTGTAAAAAAAACAAACAAACAAACAAACAAACAAACGAACGAACTAACATTACTCTGGCTTATCTTATAAATCATCCCGGTGTCTCTACAGGTTGAGTAACTGTTCACAAGTCTTGGAGTAGTGGTTTCAGTCCTGGGGTATATTTCAAAATATTATGGCAGGCTGAGAATTGAGCCCACAAACACATGGAGCCAAATGCTCAGATGAGTGTTAATGTGTAGTTAGCACTCAGTTAGAACACTTGTAAATTTCTTGTTTTGCCTGTAATCTGTCAAGAAAGAACTTCCTGTGACAACACAGAAGCTGGAACCAGTTTTTGGCAAAGTGATCTCCATATATCCTCTATTTATCCTGGTAAAAGGTCTTATTGGTATTAAAAATGTCTTTTTCAAAACAGATGTGACCAAGTGGGCAGCAGAAATTGCAGCAAATTTAAAATCAGAGTTCTTTCAAGATATTGGAAGTGACTGAAATGGACTGGATTATTTATAATGTAGATACAATAACAGGTGATTTCTTTGTGTTAAATATAACCCCTTAGCAAATCCTGTTTAATAGAGCCTCTTTACCAATATAAGCAAAGATATTAGACATAAAAAACATGTAGCGACAGGTTTATTAACAGCAAATGGAGGAACAAGCAAAGTTTTCCCTTTTATTATAAGAAAAATGTAAAATTTGGGAATGCTCAGTTCACAAATCAGGTTTCATTTCATTATTATGGTTTTATCTCACTAACAAATGAAGGAATCTGTTTGTGGGATGTGATTTCTGTAGCGTTTACATATAGGCAATGCAAAGTGGTCAGCTCATGTCGTCTTCTTGACATAAACGGCACAGGCATGTGTGGGCTGATGGAGTCTCTGCCCAGTGGGGCGTAAATGAACTGTCTCAAATTTCTCTGCTCCTACAGCGGCTCCCATCTGGTGTGCTCGCTGGTCCACAGACACCCGGAATGGAGAATTATCAACCTGGATAATGTAAGTCTTAATTTTCTTTTCCCCCTTCACTCCGTTTCCAAATATAACACTGTGGGTTTGTTGTCTTTGAGACGTGCAAAGCTGCAGCTAGTGTCTGCTGTGTGCACTGTGGCACGTCTCACTGTCTGATCTCTTCCAGTTGGATTACTGCTGCAGCCCCAGGAGTCTGAAGAGCGTTGAAAACAGAGCGAACTACATCTTTATCAGGGTGAGCGCTGATAAATAAACACATCAGGTCAAGAATAACCAGACTGACACCAGATGTCTATGTAATTTAATACTTTTGTATAATTACATGTATTATTATGTTTAAAATAAGGTGTAATTTGAAGGATTTATCATCAGTTGAGCTTTAACTGTGCCGGGTGCACAGTTACTCATTTGGACTCTTCTTCAACAGGGGGATGTGTGTAACCCGCGGCTGCTGAACCACATCTTCAGTTCCAAAAACATCGACGTCATCTTTCACCTGGCAGCCAAAACTCACGTCGGTGAGCAGCAGCTTGTTCGGGCAGTTTTTATGAACAGGAGCTTTTGAAGTTTCAGCTCTCGTGTTAAAGTTCTTTCCCTCTCTCCTTCCTCTCTGTGCTGTCAGAGGCTTCCTTTGAATCCCCGTCCACTTTCCAGCAGGTCAACGTTGAAGGGACCAGAGTTCTGCTGGGAGCGGCCCATCAGGCCCGACACCAGCCACAGCGCTTCATCTACATCAGCACCGATGAGGTGTACGGAGCCAGTCTGCATGAGGCCAGTGGATAGATTGGGGTTGTTGGTTCGTGCTTTTGTTTATGGATCAGGCAGTGACGCTGATGTTTGTCCCCTACAGGTGTTTGATGAGAGCAGCCCAGTGAGGCCCTCCAATCCGTACGCTGCTACTAAAGCTGCTGCAGAGTATCTGGTCAGATCGTACTGGGACCAGTACAAGGTAAACCCATACAGATGGGCCAGTAGCTTCCAAACCAAATAAATTACTTTAGATATTAGTTCTTGATTTGTCAGTTTCATATTTTTACAGTCAAGTTCGAGGGCATGTTTTGGCTTGGATGTTAGTTACTCGGTTTAACAATCACAGTAGTGAAAACAGCGTTATTATTGTGACCATATGACATGAACTTTGGAGCTCGTTGCCTTTGAAATAGTTGCTTGGCCACTGATTGTAGTCAGATGCCATCTTTAAAGATACTTTGGTGCATTTAGATGGCAATAAAACATCAATAAGATCGAGTCAGCCTGCTATCAGTCGACAACTGAGCCCGGTCGGATTGGCATTTGATTGCAATCAGTGATCATGAAGCCGTTAACTTTCGCTGTCTAGCATAGAAATTCACATTAAGTCCTTATATTCAGAGTCCGGCCAGAGACTTATCAATTTGATGAGAAATCCTTCCATAAATAGTGATGTTGTTGCTGCAGGAAAGCGATGTAACTGCAAAATGATGTGGGCGCTCCACAACCTTCCAGTTTTACAGGAATATGACTAGAATGCAACTATAAGTCAAGTCCCCTGTTGTTGCAGACTAGTTGCGCTTGTACTCTTGTAAGAAAGAGAACTTCAAAACTGGGCAACTCTCATCAAAATAATCTACATGGATACATGCCACTAGAGGCCAGTGGTTAATGTGATTTGAGGTGAACTGTCCCTTTAAATTTAAAAAAAAGAACTTTTTTAATCTTTGTCATTTGAATACTGCTCTGTTACCAGTTTCCCATCATCATTACCAGGAGCAACAACATCTACGGGCCCAGGCAGTACACGGAGAAGGTCCAGTATCATGACTAAGCGCACCCATTTTACATTTAGCGGCTAATTTTGCAGAAATATGCTCCGTTTGTACAGTTTAAGATTTGAGGCTGTATGTAAGATATCTGCACAGCTGTATGTAGAACTATTTTCATGTATGTAAAGCAACATCAGGTCACACTGATGTCATCTGTGCAAGATTAATCTACAGTGATACATATTTTAAAGATTTGTTTTAAGGTTATTGTAATTACTCTCATTGCCACAAGGGGGAGACAAAAGTTCACCCTGCAGGGTTAAAAATGCTGCAATCAGCTGTGTGTTTACATTTGACTACAACTGAATGCAGGGACAGAAAATGCAAAATCAGACTTTCACTTTCAGTTCCTTCCAAAGATTTAACTGGTTTTAAAGAGTTAAACACATCTTCTTCTTTGCCACCAAGCTTTTAATATAAATTGTCATCTTGATCTTTCAGGTCATTCCAAGGTTCCTCACCCTCTTACAGATGGACAAGAAATGGTGGGTTTGTGTTAACGAGCGCTGTCGCTCCGGTCTGTGTTTCACAGTAACAGAAGTGCTTATCCAATTAAACCCATTTCTGTGTGTTTGCTCTGCGGCAGCACTATCCAGGGAACCCTTCCAAAATCCCGCCACTTCCTGTTTGTCAGTGATGCCATAAACGCCTTCCTGTTGCTTCTGGAGAAAGGGATTGTGGGAGAAATCTACAATGTGGGGACAAGCTGTGAGATTCCCATCATGCAGCTGGCGAGGGAACTTGTTAGGATGGTGGGTTTAGGAACTGTTTATTCAAACATTTAGCAGGAGTTTTTAGGAAGTAAGCGGATTAAATGAATACTAAAAGGTGTGTGTGTTCGTTCTGTTTAGGTCAAGAAAGTGCCAGAATCTGAAGTAAATGATTGGCTTGAGTTTGTGCCTGACAGGTAAGTAGAGAAAGAGCTGGCAAAAGCAGGGGAGAATTCCAGGAAGTAGCCAAAGCCTTCCACTTTAGCTTTAGACTCAATCTCCGTCTTTTGAAAAGCACACTCTTCTCCACTTTTAACCTTTGACCTCTGCTCTCCAGGCCGCGGGTCGACCTGCGTTACCCCATCAAGTGTGAGAAGCTGCAGCAGCTGGGCTGGAGAGCTGAGGTGTCCTGGACTGAAGGCATCAGACAGACAGGTACAGACACACACACATACAGTCCCTTCCTGTATGGTGTGTTAGTGATTCATGCATTTCTTGTTTTTACAGTGAAATGGTACCGAGACAACCCAGACTTCTGGTCAGACATCAGCGAAGACCAACCACCAATTCGGCGTGAGTTTGAAAATGCTACCACCACAGTGGTCCCGATCAGCTCTGAATCTTGACTGACAGGAAGAGACTTTTTAATTTTTTTTCCATACAATTTCACGTGATATTTATGTAGCACAGAGGCCATCATGGCTGGTTTAAAGCTCAATGAACAAAACACTGAATACTTCAGTTAGCATCAGTCTTACTCTGCAGAACATTTCATTCTCAGCCGTCTCTGAGTTAAGACAGTGAGCAACAGGACCTGAAGTGCCAGATAACCAAGGGGAGAACCTTCAAAGCAGACCTACAGCTGGAAATTAATGCACTTTATTACTTAACTTCATAGTAATTACAATCTTAGCTGATATTAACTGTGTCTTGTCCTGCTCATTGTGATTTTTTAAATTATATTTTTGCACACTGTGGGCTGAGGGACATTAATCTCTGATTGGTTCAACATTTTCATTTAGTGTTGGCAGGATCCTGAGTCGTGCAGACAAACAGGTTCAAGTGTCAGCGCAGTAAGAAAAACTGAGGGGAAGAGCAACGCCTCACCTTTGATTGCATTTGGCTGAGTATGCAGTGCAGGCACAACAGTTTAAATTAAGACTCCTCTTTCCTGTTGGCTTTCATCAACAGAAAATAATCAGGATTGTAAGAATAGATTTTTAAGTTGGGCTTTGTTAACTTTAGCCTTCTTTTACCAAATGGCCTGAAATAGCAATGATCTCTGTTATTGTAGATAGCACAGACTCAGTGCCTTATTTCCAGTGTACATGGATTATGAACCCAAGAGGCTCATTTTGAGACAAGAAACTGATTTGACCTTTCTCAGCCTTTTATCTCATGTGTTTCCTTTAAGATTGTTAATGCAAGTATTCTGGTCGCCGTTTGGCCCAGACTGGAACGACACATTACATAATGGAACAGGTTTCAGAGAACAAGGGTTATGCAGGTAATTCCTAGATAACCCTCTAATGAACGGATGTCTGCCATTGTACATCGTGGGCCAAATACTGTGATCAGAAGGCAACTGGATCAGAGGAACTCCACACTTAATGCCTCATATGTTAATAAAATAAGTTTTTCTACATGACAAAGATCTGTCAGCACAACTCTTTGGGCTTAAACCGCAAGAAATGTGAATAATTGGTAGCTCAGTTTTATAATTTTAGTACATTCTGGACAAAGTTTTTGTTCACTTAGTTTTTTTTTCTTTACTGTTGACTTGAGAAAAAAAAACATTTAAGTTTTTTTAAAAATATTTCATTACTTTGGTGTATTATGAATGGCCACAGGGGAAGATCTTTGGAGTTTTTGCTGAACTGGCTCAGAGGCCTCATGTTTGACACCCCATTGTATGTTAGTCACCAGTATTTTGCACTTAGTAGTCACTTCAATCGCTTGCATCAAAGTTGAGAAAGGTTTCTAAGCAGTTTTACTTTTGCCAAATCTCATCAACTTTTTACGGTCTCTCGTCACAGCATCACTGCGAATCACTTCCTGTGTGGACGCAGCTTTATTCAGAGTTACAGAGGCTGCTGTTCTGTTGTTCTACACAAAGCGAATAAAATTGACTCCAACTTTAAGAAACGTGGCTGTCAGGTCATTTTAATCTGCTTATTGAAGAAAGTGAATGAAGCAAACAGCTTCAAGTCATCTCAGCAAGGCTCTGTACCAAGTTAGAAATATGTAGGTGCAACTTCAGATTTCAAATTAGTTGTTTATGATTTTTAATGATCTGTGTTTTAAGGACAACAAGGGAATCGCAATCATTCCTGTCAGATGCATTTTACGCACACTGTTTTTATAATTTGATGCTGTCGAATGTATTTATTTTCAAATAAACACTTTTTAATAACGTCACAGTTTGTGTTTTTCCATGTCTGTAAAGTCACACATGTACACACACAAAAGCCAAAACCACTGATTACATCTGCAAATCCAAACCTTTATTTGTGGTAAAATCAGAATATTTGCACAGTTTTGTTTTCTTCGTGCAGTGCTCTTCGTGCACATCTGCTAAACTAATACATAAGCAAATACTAACTACCAGGCTGGTGCAGCTGCCCGTCCACACTATGGGGTCTGGCCATTCAGTAATGACGACAGCACTGGGCTTCATTTCAGTTCGCTCGCTAAGAGAACAGCAATCGTTCCTAAATGCACCTCAGCATCTGAATTTCAGATCACTTTAACAAACTGAACGTGAAATAAAGCCACAAAGTGTTTTGTTTTTGTGTGTCTTTCACGACACCCTGACAAAAAATACAATTACTTTGTTGCAAAATGTAGTTTGTGCATACAAAAGGCTGTAAAGTAATGGTTCACCTACGTCTGATATGCGTCAGTGATTGCTGAGGCTACAGTCTTTGGACAAATCAGTCCCTGTGTAACTACAGTGGGTCTGTGCTTAGAGGACCACCAGTACAAATGTCCGTTATATTACTCCATCTCTCCTGCAGGTCAGATAAATACTGATCAGCTGCAAGAAGGGGAAAAATTAAATAAAAAATCCCCATTTCTGATTGGCCAGAAAAACCCCTGTGACAGCTCTAACAACGCCTGAAAAGATGCAAACCACAACAACGGAGCAATAGAACCACAGTTAAGTCTGTGTTATGAAGACTTTAAAGATCGCCACTTGTTTTTGCCAGACATTCACAACAAGGGTATTAACGAGAAGGAAAAGTGTAAAGATTCAACAAAGAAAAGGAAAAATAAAACGACTTGGAGAAAATCTGGACACTTTTTTTTGTACTGCATGTTTTTGTCGTTTTTTACAAAATGGTCTTTGATCGTTAACTTGTTATTTTTTAATCCAAACCTTGGCATTTACGGTGGTATTTTCTCAATTTGTTTGCCGATTAAAAATGGCTGTTTATGGTTGATTATTATTGGCAATGAAGCCTGTCGCATAAACAGGTTTACGGATGTGATACTGAGTCCAATGTGACTTTAAAGGTAACCAGTGGAGGCTGTTTCTCGTAACGTGTCGCCATCACATCGGCTGTAATCAACAATCTGTGGTACACCTCGAACATTCATGTTACACCACATGCACATCTTTACACATTAACAGAAGAGCTGAAGTTGGAGGTTTCAGCTGGGAGAAGAGTACTGTAGTGCTGGAAAACACTGGTGTTGAGCTTTACGCAGGGATACACAAGATACTGTGGCATCTTTAAACTGTAATTGCCAGAACTGACTGGACTATTTAGTTGAAATCGGAATTTTCAGGAATGACAGCATGAATACTGCCAAAAATAAAATCATAGACATTGCGTAGATTCAGCGGATTTTAGGCCACATAGAATGATGGCTAGCGCTAAAAGGTAGGGTAAGTGCTAGCGTGCTAAAAATGTATAAACCAACGGGCAAAAGTAATACAGGATGAAAACAACAAATGATAATGAAGGTTATTTTTTGAGTTTTTGAGTTATTTAGGTTTAGACTAAGTCGTGGGCTGCTGATGCTAGCACGTCACAGCCATGTTGCTAGCATGGCCGATAACCAGGAAGCACTGCGAGTACCTTCACCCCCAGAGAACCCCCGGCTTTCAGAGGTTTTTAAACAAGCTGATCATAGAAGGTATAAAACAGATTCATTTTTCTGACTCAATAGCTACGTCTAAGACAGAAGTGCCTAAAACCTGCATTCTATCTGAAGACCACCAGATGGCGATAGCTGTGCTTGCTAAAAGAACGCTTTCCTGCTGAGTTATGGGCTCAGTCACTCATTCAGTTTTTAATGTTTTTTAAGTCTATTTTGTAAATCTTGGTCATAATATGCTTCAAAATGGATTATCTATGGTACACCCAATGGTAATCATTCACAAATTTTTAGCCAATGAGCAAGCAGTCTCAGTCATATCTGTTTTTTTGTTTGTTTCTTTTTAAATCAAGATGGTAAAAGTGAAGATGCCAATATTAAGACTTCAAAGTGGGACTTGAGGATCAGATACATGGGCCAGATTTGCCTGATAAAATTCAGTTTCATTCTTACAAGTTAAATAAAAAAAAATGTAAGGAAGAACTGTGGCTGCAAAAACTGCCCAGTTAAAAAAGAAAAGATGTGCACACAGCATAGGAGCTAGGTTTTAGGGATTTGTTGTTGTTTTTTTTTGTTTGTTGTTTTTTTTTTAATGGTCTTACACAAAATATAAGCATCTGTATTTATGAAATGCAGGTGATTTTTGAAAATTACAACCACTGTTGAAACCCAGCCTTGCTATGGTGAGACGCTGACGGAGAAACGCTCCCCCACGTCGCATCTTTAACATTAAAAAGCTCACACTACCCCAGAAAAATAGAAATTTTTCACTCATACCAATGACATTCAACATTCAAGTGCCAGTGTTTTTGTTTACTGTCTTTTGGTCAAGTCACTTTGTAAAATATCAGCTTTTGTATTAGGCATAGAAAAATAAATATTTCTCAAAAATGCTTGATAAATTACACAAACTTGCAGTGAAAGTAGACTCAAGAACTCTGTGTGCAAACAGCTGAATCCTACCTTTGCTGTTAACTAGAACTCCACCTGGTCCCCAAAAAAATAATTAAAAATTAAAAAAAAATTAAAAACAAAAATTCTCAAAGAACCTTTGCTCGCACACACACACACACACACTTCTTATTTAACATCTCTACACTGTCTTCACACTCACTCTCAGTCGTACCTCTTTAGGATTAAAGGACGTGTGCTACAGAAGACTTTTGTTGAAGTCTTTTGTGTAAAACTCAGTGGTCTTTCTATAACGGAGGGGGCCCTGCAGGCCGCAGCAATGGAAGCATAGCACCATTAATTGTTCTCTGACCATCAGCGCTGTCTGTATCACAGGTAAGTTTGCTATCAGCTCCATTAGGGCTGGGTATCACCCTTCATTTAAGGCATCAGAAGGTTTTGGGAAATAAAAAAAACAAAAAGAACTAAAGTGCTGGATCAGTTTTGCAGGAAGTAAACAAAGCATTTTCTGCATGACACAAACTTTTGTGTTTTTTCTTAAACTTTGTTTACTGCTGAAAGTGTGTGTGATAGTTACAGGTACATGCAGTGACACTAGCAAGACGCTGATGATCAGTTAGCATGTTACCAAGGTAGCATTTGCTAATTAGCAGACGAAGAGTTTTGCGGTATTTTGCCAAAAAAATGAAGTCTTTCAGAATTCGTAATTGTGAGGACCAACGCGGTAGATAAAGTGCCTGATCTACATTCCTATCCATAATGCCCTGCTGCTCATATTTTCTCAAAAACGTAACATTAGCGGCACAAAACTGCAACATGTCCAAGTTGCCAGTAAAAAATGTGCCTGAATTGTTCCGAGTCAAAAGCTCTTAAGCATTTACATAAAGTTTTAATTTTTTATCCGCGCATCATTACAGCATCTGACCGAGCAAACATTCCTACACTTAAATAAAATAAAAAAATTTGCAACAGTCTGAAATACCCAGCCCTAACCAACAAATTTCAGTCTTTAGTGATTCAGCCACTCCAAAAGGCACCGTTCACATGTAAAACTCTGGGCTATTTCACATGTGCCAGTTTGTACTCGAGCAGAAAACTCATGCAGAGAATCGTGGCGACCACACAGCGAAAGCAAGCCACAAGTTACTGAACTCTATTGCACTTGGGGTAAAAGTTCAGAGGGGTTTTTTTCCCCCCTCCACGCAGGAATTTGGGGGCACAGTGGTATTTAAGTGTTGCTCTAACACAGCTCAATGGTAAATACGACTGACAGGTAAAACCAGCCTGCCCTAGAAAAACACTGAAATACATTGCATATTTATGAACAACACTATTTGACACGATTGATCTACAAAGCAAGAGGTAAACTGAATTTTTACTCTAACAAGTCACACTGCATTTAAAAAAGTTCACCGGTTCCTTCATTTTTTTTTTAACAGATTCTCAATGTGCCGCCAAGCGCTTGTCAGAAGGCACAGCAACATCTACGCAACCATATCCACTCAATGGATTCGCCTGCGACGCCGCATGCCTGCAGCGTTGGTAACAAAACAAATGGGACTACATTAAGCTTATGGTCAGCAGAAGCCACTGATTCAAGTAAGAAATGCTTTCACACAGGGAAAATCAGTCAGCAGTATCCGACTGCCAGTTCAGTCAGTAAAGTTCCTCCTACAGAGTTTTAAAGGTTGAAGCTGATTTTATAACAATGCCAGCAAGACAGCTATTTAATAAAACCTCTAGGTGTGAAAGTGCAACTTAAAGACTTCTGTTTGTGTGAAGGGAGTTCTGTGATTGTCATTAGCAACTTGCTGTCCTGTTTCCTGCTTTTTCATTCCTTCAATGCTTTGCAACAGCTCTTACAAGAAGTCTGCAGGAGAAAATAAAACGTTTCATGACCTCAAGAAGAAAGTTGATCAGTAAACAGGTGCTTTAAAAAAAAAGAAAGAAAAAAAAAATCATCTATTGGGACACCTCTGACAGTTCTGGTCAACATTTGAATCGCCGATTCAACCGCCGCTCATATTCATTAAGCCCGTGTTAGACTGCAGTCTCAAACTTAGTCACAGCTCTTCGTGCGACAGTAACTGTTTATCTGACCCGCGCTGTAACAGCAGCTGAAAAGAAAACTCAAATTTCCTGTTTTTGGTTCGTTTGTAAATGCATAAAAGGGACAGGTGGACATCGAGGAGTACAGCTGAATTCTATCACTCCACAGCCGTCCTTGAATGCAGCATTGTTCCTGGCCCCTCATTTTGAGTCAGACCAGGCTTAGTGAGATATCGTACAGTTATATTTGACTGGTGTCTTTTAGCACCAGAAAAGCTTCTGGAAAAATCTACTTTGTATATTTAGTAAATGAACAGCCAACTGCTTTAACCCCTTCAAACTCTTAAGGAAAAAAAATGCTGTTAAACAAAGTTTCCCCAACGTCCCCCTCAAATGTAACCCGAGGGAAAGGGAGCTTAAGACTGATTAGAAGAGGCAAAAAATCAAAAGCAGGAAAAAAACAAACAAACTATGATATAAAATAAATAACTGCAACATAATTAAAGCCTGCTATAGAATTGGATTCATCTGCTTGGCATTTGAAACTTCTTGACCAAAAAACAACAACACTTGAATATGTTTTACAGTCTTGGTCCTGCTTTGTCAGAGTCAGTGGGCAGTTTGAGGGTTAATCCACCTGGTGCGCGTTAATTTGGGTGAATTTATTTCTATACAGACGTGTGTATTCTCTTGAAAGAATACAAGCTTTTGTCTTCGAACTTTAGTCAGCGGTGTTCAAACTGCCCACTGTGCTAAGCTCACCAGACCCGTCTTGGTCTAGTGTTGAGTGATCAAGTGTGACTCTCATGCACACCAAGTGTTATTTAACTTCACATTCTTTTTCTGTGGAGATTCCTCTCTGTTGAAACTATTTACATTTAATCTGAGTTCTACATGTAAACATAACTAAATTAATCCACCCCCACACTGGAGTAACAGAGCTTTTTTTTTGGCTCTTAATAGGCCCAGTTTGGGGGGGTGGGAGTAGGAGGAGGATTGGATTTCTACCACTGAACCATCCAAATGTTCAGCGGAGATCCCTTTTCAAGTTCAATCAGGGACGAAACATGGACATCCTGGGTCAACAGGCCCCTTGAAGCCTGGTTGCAAAGCAGAGCCAAGTAGGGATAACCAAGGATTTGAATGCACGCGATCGGTTCTGTGCAGCAACTTTTCCACAAGCACAATTTACCCTGACAGTTTCTCACTGTGCTGAGCCGAGTTGGGTTTCGCGTTCGACAATCGCGGCGGGACGCTGTCATCGTTTATTAATGTGCAGCACGTGCTGGGACCTGCCGTGCATGCAGAAGGTGAATACGTTGTAATAGCTGCCAAGACTGCCAGTCCAGATAGCAAACTACTCTGGAGAGTGGACGTGCATCAGTGCGAAGAAGTAGGAGTGTGGCCCATCTGGGAGCTCTGTGGGCTGGGTGTTGAGTGTTTTGAAAGCAATCATATGCTGCCAGTGTACGGCTGTTGTGCGCGTTGGCCGAAATCTAGTTTTGTAAACATTTCATCGAGGAAGTGACTTCAACACTGAGAAACACTATCTGCTGACTGAAAGCAGTAGTATGAGGAGGAATTGGACCGAGACGCGATTTTGAGCGATCTTGTGCTTGATTAAAGTTGCACACGTGGCTAAAACGTGCTGTAGATACGATGCATTGCATTCCTTGGGAAGCCCCAAGCTGTCTCTGCAGTGGAATTAATTCGTAAGGATGATCCAGTTCTTCACTTTTAACGCCCGACTTCAACAGAGCTTAAAAGACCTAACAGAATAAACTGGAATGACTACTTTTAGAGAAGACTCTTCATGCAACTCTCCAGGATAGAGTGAGCGAGAAAATTTGGACCTCTTTTTAGTTTGCGTATTTCCCCCCTCAAGAGAAAGCTTCTCCCAAAACAAGGGTTTCAATGTTTGTGGTTAAAAGCAGCGGTAGATTCCCAAGAGCATGATGGCACTAAGAGTCAGCTGAAGGGCCGCAGACACCGACACAATCTGGGAACTGTTTTCAGCAGCAGCCATGTAGTGTTTTCTAAGCAAAGGTGTTTCAAGCTGTGTAGCGGTTACAGTAATTTAATATGACTCGAGTGGCACCAGACTTTGGCTTTTTTTTTTTTTTTTTTTTTAAATTACAGCAAGCTATGAGGAATTTGACATTTACGGCTACATATCTGGATAATAAGAGGGGGAGGAACAACAACGTGACTGCTGCTGGCCCTGTTAGTGGCACACAGTGACCCAACAATTAGTGACAAGATGGCTTTGAGAAACCAAACTGCAAGCTCAAAGCTGAGCTATAGATGTGACACAAGTGTCAATGAGTAGGACTCGGGTTCCCAAAAGCATACAGCCACTGTGGTCGGCCCTGCTCGTTGGCTCTTTGACTTTAACAGTACGATTAATGCAATTTTTGACCCATTTTATATTTACTCATCCAGAGTGAGCAAAGTAATCCACAAATATGCTTACAGTGGTTATATGCTTTGGGGAATTAGCTCAGTCTCTAATAGACAGATAAGGAAATGCTTTGAGTTTCCTCATCGTAGTTTTAGTTTAGTTTTTTTTTTGCCAAGGTTTGATTTAGTTCAAGCCTAGTTTGCTTCCTTCCAAATAAAAATAAAGAAAACATTTAAACCAACAAATGACACTGAATACACACTTTTAGTCACCGTGGGCCAATACTTGTGGACAGTTAACGTATTACGGCAATAAAAACAATGGAAATAAGAGACAAAGTTTAAATTCTTAAAGGCACAGTACAGAAACAAATGATTCTCCATAAACACTTATCTTAAAATTAAACAAACAAACCAAAAAAAAAAATGCTATTTGCAGTAACAACCATAAGTCCTAAGACTGTCTGCTAGCCTCACTGCTAATGGCCAACAGCGCCATTTCAGTTTGTCCAGCCACTCGTCTCTTTGTTAGACATCTGTGTCAGACCTCGATAAAGTTTCATGTTTTAAAAAAGGTGAAAAAAAGAAAAGATTTTGTTTCTGTGGCCTCCGATACGTGAAGGCCAGTATTTTTGAATTTATACGCAGACATGTTTTGCTTTTATGTCCTGCCTATAGCTATATTTTAGAAAAGTTTTTGGCCAGCGATTTACAACATGGCCGTGCGTTAAATACAAAGATGACATGAGGTCACGCGGGGAGTGTAAATGCAGACGAAAACACAGTGAAATCAAACTCAAATATAAGGTGGGGGGGAAATAAAGAAAGGATTTTCCCCTCTTTGAAGAAGCCCACACTCTGAAATCTCAGGGAATTAAACACCCAGGTCTTTTTACCAGCACACACGTGTCACAGAGGGAAAATGGTCTTAAGGTGGCTGCTAGCTGGAAGCTAACAAGTAAGCCTGTGTCCAGTGTTTAAAAAGTAAACAACTAAAATTCAACACTCTTCATAATGTGGTCTTTTTCAAGAGGAGAAAAGCTAATTTACCAAAACAAAACAAAAGGTGGACATAGAAAGCACAAGAAAACTCTTCCAACGACTTAAAAGACATGAAGGATGGGGATGGAAGCTACATAAATGAGCATAAATAGTTTAATAACATGCATGGGGGTTTCTTGGGGTTAATGGTGGTAACAAGACAGATGGGATGCAGACGTCGATGTGGAGAAAGAATGGAGGATGAGTGAGAAGAGGAAAGAGGGATGAGCGAGGGAGGGAGGGATGGAGAAACCTAGTTGCCCCACCAGTCAACTTGAGAGTGTGAGTAGTTTCCTCCGTAGCCGTCGCTGGTGTAGAAGTTGCTGAAGCCGCCTGAGAAGACGAAGGGAAGAGGAAAAAAAAGCCTTCTTAATCAAGTAAAACTTCTGTAGCATTTCAAGTATCAGAAATTAGTGTTTCCAGGCAAAACAAATCTCTATAATGCAGGTCTGATGTAAAACATTTATCCCGAATGTGCAGTTCTGTAAAACCATAATTCGCACTGAATATATTTTGCCCAACTCGCCATCAAAATATATTAAAAGTACAACAATATATGGCAAACTCAAGTGCTCTTCTGTTATTTCTCTCTATACAAGCTCTCAGAAAACAGGAAAAAAGTATCCTGGGGGCCCAGTAAAAAGCAACACAATGAACATCATGTGACTACAATCGTGTGCACAATAATCACCCTACATCAGGGGTCTCAAACTCAAATGAGCCACAGGCCACTTCTGGCACCATCATCTCATTGGAGGGCCACTTTAGTGTCCAAGTAGTACAAAAAAAAAAACCAAACACCCACTAATATTTCCTAAAATGTAGTGTTATGTTTGTTTTATTTAATTCCAAATATTGTGTAACAAGACAAAATTGCAAACATGAATGCAATTTTTTTCTCACTCAACTATCTGAAGCCTTTCAGTTTCATTTGTCATATGCAAGTTAGCACAGGGTCAACATTGCAATGAAATGTATTTGACGAGCAGACGACAGTCACTCAGCAGTATAGTACAGTAGTTTCACTGAACTACCAAATAAACAGCTGGCAGCACTTTTGCTACAATTTTGTTTGTATTTAACAAAATAAAAATGCAGACATAAGCGTACACATTAGTTTTCGACTGCAAGTGAAAATTGTTTTCTTTCCAAATAAATCTCTCACTGAACTAACACAGCCCTCAGCATGTTTGCAGTCTCTTGTTACCTCGGCCAGGTCCGCGGCTCTGAACCGCGGTAAGGAGACCTCTGGCTAATACTTTGGGTTCCGTGTCGGGCTCGTAGCCGGGAACTAGCGTTACTGTCTGGGTCAACTTTGCTTGCGAGAGACAGAGAGAGGCGTTGAAAGGCTGCTCCAGCAGAACTTTATTGTTTTGGAGGAAAACACGAACACGGTGTACAGTCGAGTTTTAATAGCTTACTTACAACTGGGCTCGTCAGGCTCTCTTTTTGGCTGCAGTGGTTATTATTATATTTACATGCTTCCAGCTCCCGTTTCTGCTTGGTAGCACCTCGTACTTTTCTACTTTCCTTTTTCTCCCTCCCTCACGCTCACACAGCGGGAGGGGCGGTCCCACACATTCTCCCTGCAGCACGGACTACACCGCCCATGAGGCTACAGTCTTAAAGGGCCATGCCTGTAACACTCTGCCGTCGTATTAAATCATTTTTCGTATAATAATTTTTAAAAAAAAATTTCTTTACATCAATATGCGGGCCGCAAGTAGAGGTGACGTGGGCTGCAAATGGCCCGCGAGTTTGAGACCCCTGCCCTACATTAATGAATAAATTTCTATTCAAAGATCAGAGCCTCACCTCCTCCAAAGGCACGGTTTCCTCCATGTCCTGCCTGGCTGCGTCCTCCTCCACGTCCTCCAAACCCTCCGGCGTTGACTCCTGCAGCAGTCTGACGATAATCTCGTGCTCCAAACCCGCCAGAGAACCTGTGGGATAAAAAAAAAATAAATCAGTGTTTAGGGATTCTGATTAGACCAGCAAATGTTTTAATACTTATAACAAAAACAAACATTAGCAAGTTAAAGACAGAATCTGTGTGTACCTCTTAGAGCGCCCTCTATTACTACTCTTGTGCTGGTGTTCATAGGCCAGGCTCTCGAGCCATGAGGGAACTTCCTGTTTGGCCTCTACTAGGATGTCCAGGAGGTCTTTAGTGATGTTCCCGTTTTTGTCATTGAAGAATGATGTTGCCAGCCCTACAGGAAACAGAAAAAACGCCAAAAAAACCACTTAAAAACAGGAGACATTTTTTGAAGCAATATAAGTAAGAGCAGTAAAATGGGGTTCATCCTAAATCAAGAGGATGCTTCCCTTAAATCACATTACTTATAGCCTTACCAAGGTTTCCTACTCGTCCCGTACGTCCAATACGGTGGACGTACTCCTCTATGTCGCTTGGCAGGTCAAAGTTAATAACATGTTTCACGTTGGAGATGTCCAAACCCCGAGCTGCTACCTGAGATCACAAAAACAGGAGCAGATACTTTAAAAACTCACACCTTCAGTTTTTATGTCGATTGTGGTTGTCAGTTAACAGAATGGTTCCTCTTGTGGTTTACCGTAACGTGCAAACAACAGGAAGTTTTTACTGACCGCTGTAGCCACCAGGATGGGACATTTTCCTGATCTGAACTGGTTCAGGGCCTCCTCTCGATCTCTCTGGGAACGGTCACCATGGATACTGGTGCAGGCGTAGCCTTCCCGATATAGGAAGTCCTCCAAGGCGTCTGCACCTTTCTTGGTCTCCACAAAAACCAGGGTCAATGAGTCCTTACCTGGTCAACCAAGAGGGGAAACGCTGGGTGTTAATGCTACAAAGAATAAAACAACTGTCGGGCTGCGCTGTGTTTGGACTAAATAAAAGACTGAGTTTAATAATCCTGCGCCACTATGACTCTGGCTTTATGTAGCAGACATACTGGACCAAATTGTGGAACAAGCACAAATAATGAAGTTACAGTCATGCTGGAATTATATAGAATTTAAGTGCACGAGCAATTATGAGAACCAAGCACATAAATTAAAATTCATCCCTGATGGCCTAGCCTGCTAAACTGACCTTTTTTAAGCTTCTCAGTCCACTACATGAGACTGATTTGCCTTCTGGCCAATGGGATCAGTTAGCATCTAAATGAATCATACAATTTTACGTGTGAACGGTTTTCTGCTGCCATGCATACATAAATCAACGCCCTTGATTGTATATGAAATCCTCCGTAGCACATCAGTTAGTGGGTTTGTTGCAGCAGCCCTGTATACAGATCATATGTTTACATGTATATGCGTGTGTGTCAGTCCATGGGGTGACTAACATGCAGGTTTCAGGGTTAAATCTACCAGCATTACTTTACAGCAGATGTTGTTATATGAGCAGAACAGTGCAACAGGCAGCAGGAGGTGCAGTGTGGGTAAAATGACCAGCAGCAATGTGTTTTCATGCAGATTTCACTAGAGGCACTGATGGAAAGATTCTGGTCACTGTATTCTTCCCGCATCAACATCATCAATTGACCTACACTTATATCAAAAGTTAGATACACGGCAGCACCACGAACACAACATGACCAGACTCTCTCCATTAAAGCTATGGGTTTGACCTAAAGACGTCACAGCAACATACTTTAAAGATGACACAAAAACAACCTTAAGCTATAAAATCAAACAACAGGCATGTTTAATTTCACATGAGAGGACCCGACGTGTGAAATGGGACACAGAACCTAAATAAACGTAATAAACAGGAGATTCTCCATCCACAAAAAAAATAATAAAAAAAAAAAAGAACAGAACAGTAAAGTCAAGCAAAATAATTTAAAATATGAAATGACAGATAAAAGTTTCCTGTTTGAGGATCTTACCAGGTTTCTCTATGTTGTCTCCAGTACTGTCCTGTACCTCACTTGGGATGGCTTGGGATAAAACCACAAACCACTGACATGTAAACTCCAGTTTGAAAGCAATGCTTGTGTGTCTGATATTGCTGATTTAACAGGTTTAAAATGTTGCCATATAATCACTAACAAAACAATAAGGTTGTTTTCCAGCCACAAACAATTAAAAATCCTCCTTTTTTTAAGTTCAGTCTGAAGAAGAAGATATTTTGTAATAAAAACAGACCACTGCTGTCTGAAGGCAAATATAATCCAGGAAACACGATGTTTCTTGCCAACTACCACAAATATAGAAAGAGCATCTTTTAAATTAGAGGTTTTAAACCTTTTTCAGTGCAGCCTACAGGTGTACATCTTCCTAATTTCACACACAAACATATCTAAGTGAAATTTTCACTGAAAGACAAAGGGTGCTGATGGACATTACACTGTGCTAAGCATGGGAAACACAGTAATGTATTGGTTGAGATGTGAGGATGACAATATGATGATGACCATAAGACAGGGGAAATAAAATCGCACTGTGTGTGTGTGGCTCGAGATAATTGCAGATAAGTCTACTCAGGCTGCAATCAGTACTTATGTTATGTGTTGGGACACAGTTGAGCTGAGATCGGCTCACCTGTAGCGCTTAGCAGGTCCAAGAGGAAAGACCTCTTATCGCTCTCTTCCACCCACACCACTTTCTGAGTGATGTTCTCCGAGGTGGAACCCACTCTGCCCACCGCCAGGAAGATGTAATCCTCCAGGAAATCCCGAGCTAGGATCTGCAGGATGAGCAAAATATGTGCTTAACACAACTGTTTTGCACCGTCTGACTAAACAGATGAAGCACTGATCACCATGTGAATGCTTGCTGCACTTTTCTTTATTAGTAATGGGCGGATTAAAACAAAAAACAAACAACAAAAAGAAGAAGAAGAAAAGTTCCAATTTCTATCACAATTACTGCAGATAATGAAGATATACCTGGATTTCTTTGGGAAACGTAGCGCTGAACATCATAGTTTGTCGGATGCCTTTAGGAGGCATGGTGTCCTGTTCGACGATGCGCCGTATCTGTGGTTCGAAGCCCATGTCCAGCATACGGTCAGCCTCATCTAGGACCAGGTAGCTAAAGGAAGCAGAAGAGTTTGAAATTTAGAAAAAATGAAACAGACATTTACCCATCACTCACTCCTCCCGTTTAGGTCTTACTTGCAGTAGTCCAGTCCGATCTTGCCTCTCTCCATCATGTCCACGAGTCTTCCTGGAGTGGCCACCAGCAGGTGACAGCCTCTCTCCAGGTCTCTGATCTGCTGGCCAATGTCTGCTCCTCCATACACAACACAGGGACGCACTCTGGAGCGGTAGGAAAACTAACAGGAAAATACAACGTATTAACAATTACACACAAATTTAAAAATCGCATCATTAAATAAAATTATTACACACTAATGTGTTTAAATACCTTCCTTGCTTCATCATATATCTGCAGTGCCAGTTCTCTGGTGGGAGCCAGCACCAGGGAGATGGGGTACTGCTTGCGACGGCCATACTTTCCATTCTCCTGCAAAGCAGCAAAGACACAACACACAACATTTAAGTCTCACAGCAACAAACGTGACTGAAAGTAGAGAAAACTGAGGCCGCACCATGAGCGGGCTGGAAACTAGACTAAATTCAAACATTTTACAGAACATGTGGCAAACCTATCAGGGACTCGTCTGTGACTCCTGAGAGCAAAAATCCCCTAAAGGCTTCACAATGTAAATTAGGGGAGAACTCGTGTAACAGGAAGTACCAGACAATTATCAGAGACATGGCACTCAAATAATTCCCGATTTAAAGTTCATGGAATAATTCAACAACAGTGAAGTAAGCAGAATAAAAACTTCCAGAGGAAAGAAAGACGACTTTTAAAATCAGACTTACCTGCTGATAATGTTCTTTCTCAATAACAGCTTAAATTAAATTAGACAAAATAACTAAATAGGTGGCAGGTGTCATATGGAGATGGCTGCTGACAGGTAGGACTTGGTTTTGCTTTTCTTTAACTGCTGCTTGTTTTGCCTCTTCTTTGATGGTCTAGTGTACTACTGCTATCAAAAAAGATCAACTTAAGCAGGTCTGCTTGTTTGTTGCACCGTTTGTGGTAGCATATGAACAATACCCTTTCATTTGTAGAACTGTGCACGTGCCCAAAATTAATGCTTTTTTTTTTTAATCTGGAGGATGCTTCAATTAAATTACTTTACCATGAAATCCCCCCACAGCACCTGAACCATTTGTTTTCCCCCTTTTAAAGCCATGATGAAATTAGCTGCACTTAACTAGATAATACTGATTTTTCTCTTTTACCTGTCCTGATGCTTTAGCTGCGTTAAGGGCCTCTCCTGGTCCATCAGTGTAGATCTGGCTGAGGACTGGCAAGAGGAATGCTGCCGTTTTCCCAGAACCTGAAACACACAAGGACAGCCTCATCCATCTCTGCTTTTCATCTCATCAACCCAATTCCAATATTTTGTTATGTTTGTGCACTACCTGTCTGTGCGCAGGCCATGAGGTCTCTCTTCGATTTAATAATAGGAATGGCGTATTTCTGGACAGGAGTGGGTCTGGTGTAGCGACTCAGAGCAATGTTACCCATGATAATCTCACCCATGTCCACGTCTTGGAACTGAGATCACAAACACAGAAACATGTACAGAAAGAGCAAAGAAAAGCAACAGTGCAGCTGGTATCTGATACAATGTGAGTAACTCACACTCTCGATGTGTTGAGGGCAGTTCTGTCCCGTGGCCTCAACAGGAATGTCATCGTATTTCTCAAAGTTAATCCCAGTGTTACTGCCAGAGAACAATTCACTACGGAGAGAGCAGCAAAGGTTAGTCGAATGCTCGGGAACTTTATTGCTCAGAGTAACTGCAGCAATTTCTTGGGATAATTTATCTGAATGACGAAATTTAAAAGAATAAAAACCTATCATTATTTTTACTGGGGCTGGTCAGCCATTTGAATTTCATATGTGTCAGGTAAGGGAAATGCTGCAGAACCATAACAGACAAAGTTAAAGATGCTTCCATATTGACATCAGACTAGAAACCTGCAAATAAGTTAAGAACAAATGTCATTAAGATGACAACTGGAAATAACAAAACGTCAAAGAATTTGCTTTCACCTTCCTGTGTTTTACTCTGTTACACAAGAACCAATGAAATCCCAACAATATGACTCAGACA